TCGGGCAGGGATGTTGTCCGGACCGGACGCCTTGCCAACGTCGAGCTGGTTCAGGAGGCGTTTCACTGTTTGCAGGCGGAAGTGGATTCGGCTAAGTGGGGTGACCCCGGGTTGGCGAACATGAGGGAGATCCCCCGGGCCCAAGTCATCATCTCCAAGGCTACATTTATTGGCGAAGTAGCGACCAAGGCAGTTCGCTTTGGCAGCATTCATACGGAGTTGGTGACCAGCGTCATCTACCAAGCATGGTATAGACGAGCCATGACTGGCGCCAGCAGCAGATTTGAGCACCGACCACCATTGCTTGTCTTTCAGGCCTCCGCGTGACAGTTTCCGACGAACTCTCAGTTCCCAGGATGTGCGAGCTCGCACATTCGCGAGGATAGCATCTTCTACTGAGCGCATGAAGCAAGCCTTGTGGGCTTCGCTGAAAATATTGTGTCTCCAGGCCTTCCATGCCTTGTCTTTAGTGTTCAATGCTGTGGTGCACTCAGGAGTCCACCATTTGGGGTCTGCTGGGCGGGTAACAAGCTGCTTGGCGGGGATAAATTTCTGCATGCCACTGGAGATGACGTCACTTAGCTTCCTGCAGGACTCTTCAGGGTCGTCAGTCACAATGGTGGACCAGTCAGTAGTGCGATAGAAGGCCCGCAGGCGCCCCCAGTCTGCCTGATTGTAGCGCCAGACAGTCCTGGAGGTAGCTTGCTCAGCATCAGGGGTGAGGTAAAAGTCGGCAAGAACAACCCCATGGTCAGAGCGACCAAGTGGCGCTTTGACAGTGGTGTCGATAGGAACGGGCATGTTGGAGAGGATGAGGTCCAGGGTGTTCAGACCCCTAGTCGGCTGCAAGACATGCTGGTGGAGTTGATGCTCAGCACACAATTCTTCTAAGGCCTCTCCAGCTACAGTTGTTTTGCTGCTGCAGAGCCAAGTCTCGTGATGGACATTAAAATCCCCAGCTAGCACTATGTGAGTGCCGTGAGTGCGGGCCACGTCTAGTGCAGGTCCAAGATACTCAATCAGACAGGTGTCGTTGTCCGCACAGGATCCAGGCCGATACAAGGCACCGATAACAACAGATTGTTGCGTGGAAAGACTCACGGCGAGCCAGAGGACTTCGTGGTCATCAGTGGGAATCTGGTCGAGGTGCACTACTGGGAGGCCGGACTTCACCCATACGGCAATGCCGCCACCAAATGCATCCCGGTCACGTCGGATGGGAGGCGAGTATCCTGGAAATATTGTCTCAGAGGCTACGGTCTGGGCCGAGAACTTCGTTTCTGTGATAACCGCTATGTCGACGTTATCGTTGAGCAGTGCATGCTGCAGCTCTCCCAGCTTGTTGGTGAGGCCAAATGCATTGGTCACCAGCCAGCGGAGCGGCGGAGCTCCACTGATCATTGCGGGGTGCCAGCAGATGCCGTGCTGTCGCTGTCAGCGCTGTCAGCACCATCCAGTGTAGGGTCACCTCTCGCAGCGCCGGCAGGGTGTTGTCGATTGGGCTTCGGGCGGTCTCGGTACTCCCATGGCCGGGCGTATAGAGGCCTTGGCCAGAAGTCCGGAGTTGTCACGAGGCTCAGGTCTGTGGCATCTATACAAATCCTAGCTGACACCTTTCCCGTCTGCGTTGTGTGGATGCTGCTGTTGTGAACACTGGCCGTTGATCCCACTGCCTCAGCGCGCCGCTTCACGAAAGTTTTGATGCTCTCTTCAGAGCAGTTTGTACCTAGGTTGCCCACAAAGATTACTGTTTTCTTGGCCCTGGGGGGTTCCTGTGCAACTAATTGCCAGCTGTCGTCAGCAATGATGTCCAGGGTCTGGGGCTCGTTGTCGTCGTCCTCCAGCTCCAAGTTGCGCTGGCCAGCATGCTGCACGTCGCCCTCATCAGTCGTGGCCTGCGTGGCATCCTGGGACTGGTCCCGCGTGGCATCCTGGGCCTGGCCCTTGCGCGTACGGGTACGCCGTCGACTCTGCGGAGTACGAGTTCTCTGGGGTTCGTCAGCTGTGGCAGGCCGAGGAGAAGCAATGGCGGACTCCCTGAGGGCGACAACCTCCTCGTTCAGCCCTGCAATTTGCCTCGATAAGTCGTCAATTCTGTTATTCAGTCGTTCTTCGCGGTCTGCGGACTCCGTTACCAATGCTGCTAACGTCTTCATCACATCTACTACCGACGACTCGATCCCGGGGAGGGAGCACAACAGCTTTACCTCGGAATCCGCCAGTCCACGAACGGCAGATTTAGTTGGAGGCATGGCGGAGGTGACCCAACGCTATCAGATGCCTACCTAGTTTTCTACTACTACTACAAACTAATACCTAAATCCTAATGTTTGAAACCAGGCCGGCCTGATGCCGGTGTTCCTGGCGAGAAACTGTGGGACCCTCAGAGCGCGTGATGTGGTGGTATTACATGCAACCTGGGAATATGTGGCGGCTTGTGATGTTGTTGTCGTTGTTGTTGTTGTAGGCCCCTTGCTAGTGACGGTGATAGCAACACATCACTACCACGCGATGGCGCAAACACATCATGAAGTAATCCTGCATTTACATCGGGGCTCATGGTGGTTGAGACTTTTGGCAGGTAGGGAAAGATTGCTGCATCACTCAAGCCGTTAAGTAGGTTGGGGTGAAGGAGTGGTTCCGCTTGACCTGGGTTGAAGGAAAATTGTGTCACTGAGTAATCAGGTCCTTTCATTGACGGCTGCTGCCCGAGGCAGGTGTTCTGTGAAAGTGGCTCACTGACGTCGTGATGACTTGGTGGCATTTCCGGTAAACTGGAAACATGGTGTGACTGGATATGTCGTTGTCCTTGGCTTGGCACTGCCATCGCATTCATGTCATCCAAATGCGCAAACACATCATGATGGAATCCTATATTTGCAAATGAGCCCATGCTGGTATTGACTTGTTGCAGGACCGAATAGAGGTCTGCATCACTCAAGCTGTTGGGATTGTGCTGGTTATCCGGCATTAGGCTATGCGGAAGGATCGGTGGCGCCTGACCTTGGTTGAAGGAAAATGTTGTCGCTGTGGTTTCAGGTTCTTTCATTGACGGCTCCTGGCCAAGTACGTTACTCCATGGTAGTGACTGGCTGAGGTCGTGTGGATTTGGTAGCATATCAAGTGGGTTGGGAATATGTGGCGGCCGGAGACGTTGTCGTCCTCGCTGTAAGGCCATTCCTGGGGCTGGTGCTGCCATCAACTTTCTACCACTGAAAGGCGCAAACACATCATGATGTACGAGACGTGTGTTCGCATGGGAGCCCATGCCCGTAGAGACTTCTGGCAAGGAGGGATAAAGTACTCCATCAAACCAGTTGTCATAGTGCTGGTGAGCCTTAAACTGAAGATTTGGTGCCGGAGAACTTTGGAGGGAGGAGAATGGTATTTGGTCTCGTGGAACCAAAGCATTGTGAGCGAAGGGGTTTGACGCTACACCACTCTGACTGAGTGGATCAAAGGTGAAATGACTCATCCTGCCTGCTTTGCTATTGTCCGTGGCAAAGCCTTAATTCACAAGTCGACACAGAAACAAAATGTAGAGGTTCTGAACAACGGTCGCAGTGAATAGGCATGAATCTGGGTGGTGGTACGAGTTAATAGGGAGTTGATGGTGATGAGATACGATGTTGAGGTGCAGGTGGGAATGTCTCTCAGTTAGTGGTGCTGGAGTTATGCAGGGTAAGTGCTGCGGATAGATACAGGTGAGAAAGGGTAATTGTTAGGGGTGTAGGTAGTTTAACCATAGGTGTTGGTGTGCGTGCAAGATTGACGTTGCCAATGTGGCAAGTCATGCTCGATAGGGTAGGTGTGTCAGGGTGATGGTGTGCTGGAGTAGTCTGCCATCAGCTGTGAAAGCGGGTGAGATGTGGTAATGTGGGCTAAAATTGAGAGGCTGTGATCTAACGTAGAAGAGAGATTGGCATGCGTAATGCGTGTGTGCATGCACTGGGGGGGGGGGGGGGGGGTAGCCATCATGATAACCATGCTCTTTTAGGTGTCGTTCGGTTGCTTCTTGCCATATTTCACACTGAACGCATCTCCTGTTTTAGAATAGTATATCAGCACTCACATGCATGGTTATCTGCCAATCTGTGCAGTTTTCGACCTGAAGAGTTGAGGTATTACTCTCGACATAACGCTGAGGTCCTGAAAAACGAAAAATGCGTGCAAACATTCGCTCTACGCGAATGAAATGGGATACTTCGCACGGACTGTCGCAACTTTGTACTCGCAACTTGCATTTGTTGCCTTGGTGGTATGACTACGAAGCTGGATTTATGTGGCGACTGGATATTATGTTGTCTTCATCGGTGTAAGACCATTGCTGGCTCTGGTACTGATATCACCTTACTATCACTCAATGACGCCAACACATCATGATGTACGAGTTCTGTATTTACATTGGAGCTCTCGCCCGTGGACACATGTGGCAAGGACAGAAAAGGTACTCCATCACACAAGTTGTCATAGTGCTGAAGATTTGGAGCCGCAGAACTTTGGAGATAGGAGAATGGTGTTGGTGCGCTGGGTTATTGGTCTTGTGGAACCAAAGCGTTGTGAGCGTATTGGTTTGACGCTACACCACTCTGACTGAGTTGATCAAAGGTAAAATGGCTCATCCTGCCTGCGTTGCTATGGCAAAGCCTAAATACACAAGTTGAAACATAAACAAAATGTACAGATAGTTAGTGGTGCTGGAGTTCACGCAGGATAAGAGTGACGGATCGATACATGTGAGAAAGAGTAAATTGTAGGGGTGTACGAGTATAAATTAATCATAGGTGTTGGCGTGCGTAGAAGATAGATCATTCCAAATGCGGCAAGTCATGGTTGATAGAGTAAGGGTGTCAGGTGGATTGTGTGCTAGTCTGCGATCATGTGAAGGTGGGTGAGAAGTGGTGATCTGGGCAAAAACTGAGGGGCTGTGATTGAAAGTATAATGGAGATTTATTAGCGCGTGCATGGCGTGTGTGCATGAACTGGGGCTGTATTGTGTAGTTATTAATGGGGGAGGGGTGGGGATACAATCATAATAATCTCACTGGCTCTTTGAGGTGTCGTTTGCTTGCTTCTCGGCATAATGCACACTGAACCCATCGTGTGTTTTAGGTCAGCACTCACATGCATGGTTATCTGCACGCCTGTGCAGTTTTCTACCTGGAGAGTGGGAGTATATCATATCACTCTATAAATAACGTTAGGTGATGTTAGAGAGGTTCTGAAAATCGAAAATGTGTGCAAAATTTCTCTGTTCGTCATTAAGTGAGAAACTTCGGATGAATGTTCGAAACTTTGTACTCACAACTTGCAGGAAAGGAGAATTGAAAATCCGCACAAAACTTTACTTGGGCCCGTCGCGAAACTTTGTGCGTACTTTCAAATTTTTCATCGTTCGTATTTGGCGCTGATTGGAAAGGCTTCCTGTCTGAAGTCTTTCCATACTGGTACTCGAAGTTTCAGTTTTGTGACACGAGAATGGCAGGAGAATTAGTGTACTGCTGAGTGTACCGCTATACACGTGGTCGACACTTTGTCGACACTTTGTTGATACTTCGTTGACACGTGACTCCGTCAGCGGTCTGCTTTGTGCCAATGCCACTAGGTAAACGTCGATGTCGCGTACGAGAAAGCCATGGCGCGACAGTCGTGCGACGACTTTCCCGTGCGCGAAATAGTTGAGAACTGCAGAAATCGACGAAGACAAACGAGGAGGCCCCTTTCGGTACCCCTGACGGGAAGGAGAACTGCAGAAGTCAACGAAGTCGAACGAGGAGGCCCCTTTCCGTACCCCGTACCGCAAAGTGCCATTGATGAATGTCTTCTGCACCTGGAACGTCCCGAAACGCTGTCGCGTAGGCGGACTGAATGCGCAGGGCAAAAAGAATTGCTGCAAAGACGTCCGCTCTAAAGATCTAGGCCTTTGGAAACATCGTGTGAACTCCTTCCGGCACCCCCGCAAAGTGCCATTGATGATCGATGAATGTCTTCTGCAAGTGGAACGACCCCGTAAACGCTGTCGCGTCGGCGGGCTGAATGCGCAGGACGAAAAATATTGCGGCAGAGACGTCCGTTCTAGGCCTTTGGCGACATGGTGGAACTCCTTCCGGTACCCCTGGACCGCAAAGTGCCATTGATGAATGTCTTCTGCAACTGGAACGGCCCCGTAAGCGCTGTCCCGTCCGCCGACGAAAAATATTGCTGCAAAGACGTCCGCTCTAGGCCTTTGGAGGCATCGTGCTAACTCCTTCCGGTACCCCTGTCCCGAAAAGTGCCATTGAGAAATTAATGAGAATGCACTGACCTGACGCCGTGACGGGGAGGAGAACGGCAGAAGTGGACGCAGACGAACGAGGAGGAATCAGGACGAGCGAGCAATGGCAGGACCGTAAGTAATAGCT